TTGTTATAATGTTGGTTTGAGGGCGGGTTGGGGGGGATTGTGTTTTTCTTCTTCACAATGATGACATTGCCACAGTTCAAGATGATGGTTAGAACCCCAGCAACTATCAAGAATGAACTTGCTGAACAAACAGCTTACCAAAAAGGTGATCCAGAAGGCCAATGTGTATGTGGAAGAATGTTTATCAGCACTTCTAATAGGGGAGCTGCAGGGCAAGACCACGATGACAAGTCATCTCACTTCTGTGAGAATGGAACATGTTAAAAAGACCCACAACAAATGTGGGAGAGGATGCAGAAAAAGGGAAGTCCTATGCCACTGCTGGTGGTAATGTCAACTGGTGCAGCCATTTTGGAAGGTGATCTGAATAATTTACCTTAAAAAACTGAAAATGGAAATACTGTAGGACCCAGCATTCCCACTCTTGGGCATCTATTCAGAGAACATGAAACCAACCACCAACTCAAAAAATTCTATGCTCTGCAGTGTTTATTGCAGCAGTGTTTACAATAGCTAGGACATGGAAACCACCAAAGTGTCCAATGATAGAAGAGTGGATCAAGAAGAAGTGGTATATCCACACAATGGAATAGTATTCAGCCATAAGGAAAGATGAAATATTGCCATTTAGGGCCTCCCCTGGTGGTGCAGAGGTTGAGCACTGGACTGTGAAGTTGCCCGTAGCCTCTGCAACGCCGGTTCAATCCCTGGCCACCAGTGAGGGTCCCACATGGCGCGCAGACCTCTCTTGCCGCCCACTGCTCCCCTCAGCAGTGTATTTCGTCACTCTGCCTGTTCTGTTGCCCGCTCTGGCTCTGGTAAATTCTCTCATCCTCCTGCGCTTCTGACTGTACCCAGTGCTTGTATAAATAAATAAATAAGTAAATCTTTAAAAAAAAAAAAGAAAGAAAGAAAGAAATACTGCCATTTAAAACAAAATGGAAGGGGGTCTCCCTGGTGGCCTAGGGGTTAAGTCTCAGTACTACCACTGCAACAGTCCACCTCGATGGCTTGAATTCCATCCCCAGACAGGGAACTGACCCACACGGCGCGGCCGACCTCTCCTGTCTCGCCCACTGCTCTCTTCAGCAGTGTATTTCAGTAGATCTGCCTGGTCTGCTCCCCACTCTGTCTCTGGAGAATCCTCTCACCTCCTACACTTCTGGCCTATACCCTAGTTCTATACATACATAAATAAGTAACATCTTTTTAAAAATGGAAGGTGTTTGAGAGAATTATGTATAGTAAGGCAAGTCAAAACGATAAAGACTAATATTGCTCAGTTGTATATTGGATGATTCCACAAAGCAAAATTCTTATAAAAACTAATGATCACTGATAAATGAAGTGGGGCTTTTGAGGTTAAGGGCAGGAAAAGAGAAAGGATCAGGGGTATAAGAGATGGTGGTGTGAAAAAAAATGTTAAACACTATATAAACACAGATATTAAAAAAATATATAAGCACCTGTCCTGAGCACTTAGTATTTGCCAGGTACATTTTCATCCATTGTCTCAATTGAGCTGCACATCCATTATCTTTAAGATGGGTCTTGTCACTGTCCTAGGCCTAAGGCTAAGACATTTGCTCGAAGTCACACAGCTAGCAAGGGCAAGGCCAGAATTCAAACTCAGGTCTAGAAGTCTGTTTTCATAAACCTCTCTGTCCTATCCCAAGAGAGAAAAGAACCCCAACCAGAAAAGAGGTCACACACTCTAAAAACACCACCAAAGTGAATGATTTATAATGTTGCCCCCATAGGAACTATTTCTAGTTACAAAGCCATTGGGATGACTTCAAGATTAGTTTGGTGACAAGGCCTGTGATGTGTTCAATTTGCCACATAGCACAGAGAATATTCATTTCTAAAGCACCACAGGAGCTAAAGAATTCGCAAATCATCTGAGCTTTCGAGCAATCCTAGATTTCCAGGCTAGGGCAAGCCTGTTAGAGTCAGGGAACCTTGGGATCTCCAGGTACTTAAAACCTTGGAAGCAAGTGACTTGACCCACGACAATCCTGAGCATGGCCTCAAGTTCCATCAAACCCAGGCCCCTGACTCCTGGTCTATCCACCATCCCAGTCATATACTACCTTTCAGGAGCAGGGCCCAGTGCCTCCTGCTGATGGCAGAGGAGAACATGGTGGCCACACTCTGGCCCTGTGCACCCACCATAGCTAAGAGGGTGACAGAGTTACCCAAGCAGTGGAGGGGCCATCCTCCATTCCCTCACCCTCTGTAGCTCCTTTGCAGCTCTTTCTTCCCGGAGGCTGCTCCTGGTATATGAAGAACCCTGACTGGAGGCAGGACCTGTTTCCTATTCTGCCTCTCTTCCAATTTGCTGTGTGACACAAGGGGAGTCACTGAGCCTCTCTGGTCTTCAGTTCCTTTTGGGAACTATTTACACACATCCCACATACTTCAGGAATGGCTCTGAGAATCAGATGAAAGAGGGGCTGTATGAGAAAGTGATTTGGAAATGGCAATCCCATTATGTTACCACCACTAATGGTATTCGATTGCGCAAAAGCAGCAGAAGTAACTCCTGGCTCACTATGCTTGGGGAGGATGTTTATTTCTTCTAGAAAATAGTAATAATAATAATACATGATCTTCCTGGGGCAGGGAGTTAGACCAGAGATCCTTCTGGGATCACATCCAATTTTTAAGTCTATGACTCTATAATTTCAAAGACCCCCAAGAAGATTGCCTCTCCTGATGTTTGAATTTTCTTTTATCAATATGCAAAACATTTCATCTTATAATCAGAAAAGGAACCTCAAATGCAAATGACCTGGAGAAGGATGCAGCACCTTGCCTCACATTCTCATACTACGGTGTGAATAACTGACACCAGGTTCCTTCCAAGAGCAAATTCTGCCTGGAAGCTGGAAAGCCTGACCTGACGGAGTTATATAATAGGGCGTCCTGGGTGAGGATTGAGGCTGAATCCTGTCTGTTTTCTGAGACCAAATTCATAAGAGCAAGAGTTCCCAATTTTAGCTTATTTTCCAAGGATTTGTCTTGTCCCCCAGAGTGGGCTGGTGGTTTATGTGTACTTTGCCATCTCTGCCCATCTGGGCTTACAAACCAGAAGTGGCTTCGATAGCCACATGATCCCTTTCAACCCTAACCCAGGCCCAATCAGTCATCATGTCCCCCTTGTTCACTGTCTTCAAACTCTGGCCCTGTGCACTGTTGCAAACTCCTTTCCCCGCCAAGCACACCAGCCTAGTTAGGTCAGGAGAGAAGAAGCCCTCTTCTCCTTCTGCCCACCTGGCTCTCACCCCATCCCCAACCCGAACCCCAAACAAACAAAAGAAGTGTGGAAATGAGCTGGTGTCTAAGAGGATGCAGGCATCATCTGTCTCTGTCCTACCCTTCTCCACTGCAGCTCAGGAATGCTTCAGAGCTGGGGTATCAAGAGAGAGTGCCTGTCTTCAGCAGCAGCACCACCACCATCATCACCAGCATTAGCTGAGCATTGAAATATACTAGTTACTCTTCTTAGTGCTTTGCCTGTACTAACTCACATAATTCTCCTGAAAATTTGGCGCTATTATCCTCACTTTACAGATGAGAAACTGAGACACAGACTAGGCCAAGAGCACATACTACACGTGGCAGTGTTAGGGGGTCACCTCAGTGCCTGTGCCCTTGCCATTATTTCTGCCCCCTGAAATAGCAGCAGTACCTTCAAGCCTAAAATATCCAGCTCAAAAGTATATGTGCACTGCTCAGGGAGTGCTGGAGTTCAGGCACGAAATTCAGTCCCCTCTTTGACCAAAAGGGGATACTGAGGCCCAGGGACTGAGTGGTCTTCCCAGGTCACCAGCTAGTAGAGCCCAGAGCTGGGGTCCTGGCTGACTACCCTCCCCCAACCCCCACATATTCCAGGAGAGGCCATTGCCCACAGCCAAAGCACATTTCACCCAGGGGTCGTGACCTGGAAATGAGCCACTGGCCTTACTCTAGCCAGCGCCTGCCCTTCCCGCCAGGGCCTTAAGAGCAGTCTCTGGTAAGTCGCTGCTTGGTGTTTTCTTGCCTTTGCCATAGTCAGACTACAAACCTCACACTAATTTGGGGTGAAGACCACGAAAAGTGACAAAATCTAAAGTAACTGCAAATGGTTGGAGTCGGCTTTGGGTGGGATCAGGAAAGAGCTTTCACACCCACCACCCTCTCTCCCATCCAGAGCTCCTACAGTTCAGGGTCGGAGAAGGGACATTGGCCCCCAGCTTTCCCTCCAGACACTCGGCCCTGCTCTCTCCCCAGGTGTCAACCCCTGCTGTGATCTTCCTTTTCCAATCCATTCTCTCCATCTTTCTCCTGAGAATTCACCCCATTCCAGATCTGAGATTTGATCGGGTCCCCCCACCTCAAACGGAGTCTCCAGCTGACACTCCCCAACATCCGCGGTTGCCTCGTTCCCTTTGGAGAGCGCGGGTCGCTTCCCCAGCCTTGGAAATCGCGCCCCCACCCATTCACCCGGACTTTTGGGGTTCCCCTCCTCAGGACGAAGGCAGGGTGGGGAGCGAGTCCGAGGTCAGGACTGTGGCAGGAGCGAGCCCAGGAGTTGGGCGGACAGGGCCCGAGCGAGGGTCTGGAGAGGGCTCCGGGCGCGGGGGGACGCCTGGACCGCAGCCGCAGGCGCGCCAGGACAGACCGGCCGGGTCCGACAGCCTCGCGGAGTCGGGGTGCTCGTGGGAAGGGGTCGCGACCCCGCGGGGCGTGCAGGGTGGCGCTTGGCCCCCGCGGGGTGAGAAGAGAGGCGGCGAGGGGACACCAGAAGCGGGGCTCCGGGCCCGAGCAGGGGGAGCGGGAGACCGAGCCCCGGGCGCGCGCTCCACGGCGCGGTGGCGCTGGGTCCCGCCCGGCCCGGGGCCCGAGTTCGAGCCCCCGCCCCGACGGGGCCACGGGAGGGAGCCGCCGACCCCGCGGCGGCCGGGAGGGAGGCGGGCGGGCCGGGGGCGCGGGCCGGGGGCGCCGCGGGCACTGACCCGAAGTAGGCAGCGGCGGCGGCGGCGGGCAGCGCCAGCAGGCAGAGCGCAGCCAGGGCCAGCGCGGGCGGGGGGCGCATGGTGCCGGCGCGCGGCGCCCTCTCGCATCTCCTCGCGCCGCTCGGCTCTCGCAGCGCCGCCACCAGCCCCCCGCGGCGCTTTAAAGCCCCCGGGGCGGGGGGGGGGGCGGGAGGCGGGAGCGGGGCCCGCGGCCCCACCCCCGGCGGCGAGCCCCCCGCCCCATTGGCCCCGCCGCGCTCGCCCCGCCCCTCCGGGGCGTGGTCGCCGCCCGGCCCCGCCCCGCCGCCGTCGGCCCGCCCCACCCGCCGCAGGTGAGCGCTCACCTGACGCGGCGCCTGGGGGAGCCAGGCCGCGCGACGGGAAGCCCGGGGAGCGGGAGACCGGGATGGGGCGCTAGGTGGGGGCCGGGGAGCGCATGTCTCTCTGGGGCGGGATAGAGGGGCGCGGGAGATTCCCCCCCGCGGGGCGGGCGGCGGCGGACACAGGCCCGGGAAGGCCCCTGAGTCTGCAGAGCAGTCGCGTCGCGTGCGCCCCCCGGCCTGGCAGACGCGGGCTCGCAGCCCAGGCTCGCGGACTCGGGTCGGGGGCGGGGGGTGCAGGCCGGACCCTGACGCAGAGCCGCTGTCTGGGAGCGGGAGCTGCAAGACTAATGGCCGGGGCGGGGTGGGGCGGGGGGGCGCTCCTGAGTGGAGTGGCGTGGGGAGATACAGGGGGCGGCCCGCTCGTCAGAGCACAGGGATAAAAAGGAGCCCCTTTTCTAGACCGGAGACTGTCAAGTTCAAGGTGCACCTCATGGACCTCTGTGGGCCTTTGACAAAGGGCTTCTGATGTTCTTGGGACAAAAACCAGATTCTCTGGTCGTTGGGGTAGGCAGAGCTGGGAGGGGAGAGAGACTCTCCTTGCTTTCCAAGAACCCCTGTCAGACAGGGTGGAACTCTCCAGTGCTAAGCTCTGTCTCAATTATTCTTTTTAAAAGTTTGACCCCCAACTCCCACAGAGCAGGTACAGTGCTCAAGGCAATAGGTGGGACCAGTCTAGGAGGGGGACAGACGACAAATGACCAGAATAAGACTGGAAATGTTTTCGAGAGTCTTGAATACTGGGTCGAATGGAGCAAAACAAAATATGATTTGCACTAAATGTCAAGACCGGCATTTAAAGTTTCCCCCAGAGCAGCCATGCATGTAGAACATCAGGTGACATCGACCTTGGCTTTGAAGTGGACACCAGCATGATGGGGGGTGGTGGCTGGCGGAAGACGGCAGCTGCAGTGGAAAACAGCGTCAGCAGAGGAAGCCCCCAGCTATGGCGAGCCTCCCTGGGTCAGCGCCCAGTCAAATGAGCATGACGAGATGATCCATGACCTTTGCCAAGTCTGCCGGCCCCATCAGATCTCGTGGCTATCTACTGAGGGCCACAGCCCAGTGTGATGAGCAGAGACCTGTAGTTGGATCATGTCAATTATGAACCCCAGGTACTAAATGGGGGTGATGACAAATGTCTCCAGGATCGCTGTGCAGGTAAGAGTGACGCCTCATCACATCATGACTTAGCTGTGCAGCCGCCCACTGTTGGGGGGTGCTTACAACTGCAGGCTGGACTGCTGCTTTCAGGCGGTGGATGGATGTTTAATTTGTATCATGGGTCAATTTCTGTGCTGTGCTGCACAAATACCCACCCTGGCTGATTTCAACCCCATCGATGTGACAACACTCCTGATCACCCCTGTTGTGAAGAGAGATTTGCAGTGGGCTCTGCAAGCCAGTCTGAGCTGGCCCCAGTATCACACTGGTGAGACCTTGAACCAGGTTCCAGTAGGGCTCAGAGGAGGGGCCGAGTGCACCAGCATGAGTCAGGGAGGGGATGAACCCCACCAGGGCCCAGGCATGCCCAGGACAGGTAAGGAGGGAGAAGGTCCAGCTGCCCCTTCTGTCCTTGTGCCCGTAACCCACGCCAGACACACAAGCCCGCACAAGCGAGCACGTGCCTGGAGAAGGTGAGGGAGGGGGGGAGTGCATTCTCCCAGTGACACATTTTCAGCATTTCCTAAAAGGTACATGTTGGCATCTTGACATGGGTCACCAGGCACAGTGAGACTCAGAGTCTTGGCACTATTCACTGGGGCACCTCGTCCCTCCAACAGCTGACCCTCAGGGGCACTGGACCGAGTGGTGGCAAAAACAGGTCGTCTCTACAAACACGGTGGTGTGACATCACTGAAAAAGGACAGAGGGGTGACCCTTGGTACTCATGGCACACTTGTGGCTCCCACCGCCCCCTCTGCCCTGCAAGCTCCTCCACAGTGGTCCCGTGTTTAACCATTTCCTGTAACTCCAAAGCCTGGTACTAGACCCAGCACACAGTAGGTCCTCAAAAATACGTCATTGCCAGCTTATCACCTTGGTCTGTGACCGCTTTATGGGTCTATAGAGAGAAACTATCACACTGACACAAACCTACCCATAGGAGTGCCCTCTCCCCTGCACACGCGTGTGAACGCACAGACACTGACACAAGTCTGGGCTTCGGTGACACACAGACGCCCCCACACCTCCCCCATGGATGCCTAAATTCCTAGGCAGACCCACAGCTGCTCCTGGACCCACACGTTCACACAGGTATGCAAGAGAAGCATTCTTAGACACCCACATGCAGGTACCTGTCTCCACTAACTAGCCCAAGGCAGCCACGGCTGGGGGATGGAGTCCTCCCCACCCCTGTGCATGCACGCACATGCACACACACGCTCACACACACACACACACACACACACACACACACTCTCTGGAGGTCACAGGCTTGTGACTGAAAGCCTTGCAAGGCTGCATTAAATTCAGCTCCAGGATGTCTCCTCCTAACTTCCTTCTCCTGCCCCCCACCCTGGCTCAGGCCTGCAGTCACATGGCCTGAAGCAAACCCTGAGCAATCACCCATCTTTGTCTGGCCCAGGCCTCCAATGGCTCCAAACCCCATCCTGGCACAGGCCCCATGTACCCTTCAATCCCCCCCACCACCCAGGCCAGGCCTCAGGTCGGCGGGAATGAGTCCCAGGCCGGCAGTCTCCCTCTGATCACCTCACAGCTACTGGAAATGGACCTGGCCTGACAGGAAGTAGGCAGAGATGCCCTGGCTGCTCTGGGCCAAGGCACCGGTGCCCAGACCAGACCTGAGACTTGGGGGAGACCCAGGGACCGGTGTGGGTATGCTCACCGGCCCCTCTGCCTGTCCTTCCTCCCCTCCCTGGGACCCAGCTTTGTTCACCGTGGCCTCTCTGTGACTGACCACTCCCACCATCCCAGCCCCCTCCCCATTTAAACTGGACTTGGGTCTGGGGTGCTGTGAGGTCATGCATCGAACCCCACTGTCCCCAGTGTACGGGTTGGATCTAAAGTCTAGAAAGGTGAGTAACCTCCTTCAGTTGTGGAATTCACTGGCAGTTGGTGGTGGTTCTGGAACATCAGACTGAACTAGGGCTGGAGCTTAGTGGTGGAAGCAAGCTTCCAATCCCGCGTGACTCACAGCCTTGCTTGAAAGCAACAACAAAAAAAAAAGATGGTGGAGAAAGCCCCCAAAGTGTTTTAAAAAAAAAAAAAAAACAGTGGGTGCCTTGGAGGTTGGAAGTGTGGATTTAAAACACGTTGTTATCCCCTGTGTATTTCTTAACTTTTCTTTTACAAGCATGTTCAACATTTATAATTTTAAAAATTCCTTAAAACAGGGAGGGGACACACACACAAGAATGAATCTCTAATGGTGGAATTTTAAGCATTGGCAGGAAAGATATTTGGGGCGGGCAGGGGACATATTCCCAGAGTCCTGCTATGGCTTCCGTCCGTCTTTCTGTAGGAAGGGCTTCAGTCCTCTTTTGGGCTTGCTCCAGAGTTGGCAGAGTTCACCCCACCCTTGGCAATTCTAATTCCAGGCTTTTCACCTCTGCTCCTCCCTCCATTCTTCACCTTCCTCACTCCAGAGCAACACCCTGGGTGGAGGTTGTGTTGTGTGCTGCCCCTTGCCTGCCTGAGGCCCTTCTCTAGTCCTTGATACAGCAGCATCTTTGTTCTTAGCTGAGGCAGGTTGAATGCAGAGGGGTGCCCTTTCGTGTTCCCCCACCCAGTCATGCTTGCCTTGCCAAGAGCAGCAGGTTTCCCACTGTGGTATACCACCCCCTCTTTGAAGCCCACCTTGACTGCTTATTTACCACCTTGACATGGAGACTTTATTGGCACAGCTTAATTTTGTGCCAGAGATTATGTTAATTCACCGTCCTTGAATTGGGGAGTCTTAGGCAACGCTACTGTGTATAAATTACAGATTCCTCAAGGACTGAGATTCTGTCCCATTTCTTTGATATTCTATATCTTGTTCCATACTGGCATGAGCTTCAGCTCACCAGAGTGATCATTAAATATTTGAATGAATGAGTGAGTGAGTGAGTGAATGAATGAACACTGGAATGCAGAGGGGTCAGACGTAACTTATCGGTGGCTACAAACTCTGCCCTTAATATTTTATAATCTTGAGGAGAGACAAGGTGTCGACCCCTTCAGCCAAGAGCCGTGGTTGGACCTGAGGGGTGGGTTGTTCTGGAAGGTCTGGCTTTATCTAGCAATCATAGGTAGGTAGGTAGGTGGGTGGGTGGGTGGGTATAGGTAGGTAGGTGGGTAGGCAGATGGATAGCTTGCAATCTGGATTGATAATATCATTTTCAAATAGCCTGTTCCATCATCTCCATAGGTCAAATCATAAATGTCAGGTGACATGTCCATGCTCGGCCTGGCCACTAGGCTTACCAGGAATACCTCTCTCCCCAGGTTCCCACTCCCAGAAGCTTCACAGCAAGATGACTGAGCAACACTGAGCAGCTTTCGTCTGTCTTTGACCATCATGAATTCCGCCTGTGACCTTCCCATGAGCACAGCGCTCACAAAGGACTCGACTCTGGGGCATTTTAATTTTTTTTAAAGATTTATTCCATTTATTTATACAAGCACTGGGTCAGAAGCGCAGGAGGGTAAGAGAATTCACCAGAGCCAGAGCGGGGAGCAGAACAGGCAGACTGATAAAGTACACTGCTGAGGGGAGCAGTGGGCCAGACAGGAGAGGTCTGTCCAGCC